GATTGACTAAAGCAGCTTCAAGGGTAATTGATTCAGGACGCTATGAGGAAAAATCTATGCATGGAGGTCTAAGAGACTTTGTTAGATTTGTACATCATGAATCAGCGGATTCGGACTCAGCATGGCAGGTGCACTAGTTCCCTCCAGAAATTCAAAAAGGTCTTGACAGACTTGATCAATGGGCCCTATCCAACAACATGAAATTTCATGTGTAGAAAAGCAAGGTTTTACACTTAGGCAGGAAAAACCAAAGGTACAAGTACAGATTAGGTGAAACCTGGTTCAAAAACAGTAATTGTTGGAGTCCTAGTGGATGATTGCTTAAACATGAGCCAGCAGTGTGCGACAGCCACCAAAAGAGCTAATACAATCCTTGGCTGTATAAATAGAGGCACAGAATCAAAATCACGTGAAATATTAGTACTGCTTTATAAAGCCTTAGCAAGGCCACACCTGGAAACTGCATCCAGTTTTGGTCACCACATTAAAAAAGATGTTGAGACTTTGGAAAAAGTGCAAAGAACAGCAACTAAGATGATTAAAGGCCTGAAGAGTAAAACATATGAAAAATGGTTGCAGGATTTGGGTTTGGCTAGTCTAGAGAAAAGAAGGACTAGGGGTGTCATGATAGCAGTATTCCAGTATTTGAAAGGTTGCCACAAAGAGAAGGGGGTCAACTTATTTACCAAAGCACCAGAAGGCAGGACAAGAAAGAATGGATGGAAATTAATCAAGGAGAGAAGCTACCTGGAACTAAGGAGAAACTTCCTAACAGTGAGGACAATTAACCAGTGGAACAGCTTGCCTTCAGACATTGTAGGTGCTTCTTCACTGGAGGTTTTAAAGAAGAGACCGGACAGTCACTTGTCTGAAATGGTATAGGGTCTCCTGCTTGAGCAGGGGGTTGGACTAGATGACCTCCAAGGTCCCTTCCAGCTCTATTCTGATTGATCAATTGTCATTCTCCCAAACTTTGGGTTGGAATGGGTTTCATCCTTTTAAAGAATTACATCTGTTTGAGGAATTGTCTTTTCCAGAAATATATAATCTGTGCCTTTTACTGCTTTTACATTTATTTAATGTTGCATGTTGTCTTTTGGAGTTCAATAACCTTCTAAACCCATAATTAATGAATTATGTAATTAATATTTATAAGTAATATAATATAAGTAATATAATGTATTTTTCACTGTCAAAGAAAACACCTTTTAGGCTTTTTTTGCTTCTCAACCACTAAATTGTCATGAATACACTTATGTGTTAACTACATTTTGTAATATACTATAATACTAAAAACTATAGATGAAAATTTCTGTAAATCTAAAGAGTTTGAATCTGAAGTCCCAACTGGCCAGCAACCAATTTTCATTCATGAACAAGAAAATTTAGCTCCACAAATAAATAGTTTTCAGCAAGGAGGCTTATAAGAGCCGAGGTGGTGCAGCAGTTAGAGTGCAGTACTGCAGGCCACTTCAGCTGACTGTGTTCAGCAGGTCAGCGGTTCAAATTTCACCGGCTCAAGGTTGACTCAGCCTTCCATCCTTCCGGGGTAGGTAAAATGAGGACCCAGATTGTTGGGGGCAATGTAAAAATATATATATATATATATATATATATATATATATATAATAATATATATACACACACACAAACACACACACACACACACACACACACATTGCTTACTGGTGTACACCGCTTAGAGAGTGCTTGCACTTAAAGCGGTATATAAGTATCATAAATAAATAAATAAATAAATAAATATTGAGTAGTCGTTCTGTGGATAATTACAATAAATAATCTATCCTAGATCAGCAAACAACATCATAAGGGTTGGTTTTCTATACACTTTCCAACACTTAAGGAGAACCATGGAAATGAATCTGCATAAAAATATGTTAAAAATTATCTTTACTTTAAGAAAATTCAATAAAGCCTATTCATTTGGAACAGAATTCTATACATTATCACAAATAATTCTGATGTGAATTGGGATCATTTCTACTTCCCAAAGTAATTCTAAATTTATTTGAAGAAAATTATGTGCTAATTTCAAAGCAAATAGAAGGTACAGTCTGCTATTTTAAAGTGGAACATCCGACTCACTGCATTTCTGTTACTTAAGTATATATTTTATAGAGATTACATTTAGAACTATTATTTATATTGATTTTGTGAGTTTTTGCTTTCAATAACAACTGCTTGAAAAAAAGGAAACATCTATATTATCACATCCAAATAAGAGTTGTGATATTCCAGGATATTTGTTCTATCTCTGGCAATTCTAATATTTTTCCAGTTGCCTGCAGCTGTTGTAATTCATGGGTATGGAAAGAAAGAGAAAAATGCCTGTGTATGGAGCTATGAAAATCATGAAGACAATAAATGTTTGGTTATCCCTGGAATTTTAAAAACATGGAAATTATGTTTTTTTAAACTACTCGTTGTCTCCCTAAAACACAGATCATAGATAAAAAATAATGCACTCTGAAGCATATTCCCAATGATTCCAAATGACTATTTTATTTTGTTTTTATCACTAATGAAAAATATTCACTAACTGAAATAGTAATTTAGCATATCGTGCATTGCTTGACAGTCATCCAGGAGTTTCTTCCCAAGACTGTTCCTTTAAAAATAAAAACAGCTGCTCTTGATATGGTAGCATCTTCTGCCTTTTCTGTAACAAATCACTTAAAGTTCTTTTTACATGGCGGTTATATTGAATATTATGTACAATAGAGGTCTTAGTGTACCAAGAGACTGAAAAATAGATCTTCAGTAAAATGAATAATTCAAACCCTCTTATAGGAGAAAACAATGCTTAAAAAGAAAAGCAGTGCTTTTCCAGCATTTACAAACTTAGAAAGTTGATAAAAAGTGCATTTTTTGGTATTATATTTTTAAAAAAGATTATCTGGGGACATTGCTATTTTGTTGATGAATCTCAAAAGTTTGCATTCAGCTTGATTATCTGTGAGTTGCCCTAAGAAAGTTACAACATAATATATAACATTTTTATGTTGGAATGGAGAGAAGCATTGGTTGAAATGTGCTGTTTTTACTTTCTCCTCTGAAACCATCATTATTATTGCTACTGAAGAGCAATTTTGCTTGTATATCTTGATTAATTTCAAATAAAAAAACTATTTGGGGAGTAGTAAGAGGTAAAAAGTAAGTGGCTTGAACTCCACTCAATGGAAAATTATTAAATTAAAAAATCTGTCTATTTTTCCATTCTGCAATTTAATATCCAATAATATCTGCGACAATATTGTCATGGTTAATCAAGAAATATGAAAAGCAGAATGATAGTATTTACAGAATTCTAAGTTGAATGAAGAAAATTACCAAGAGTATGTATATTGGCAAGCTAGGTATGCAAAAGCATGTAATTATGCATACCATAATTATATAATTGTATAACTCTAAGCATGCATTTTTAGAATGAAATTGCACTGCTTTTCAAAGGAGATAGTTCCAGGGTTGTACTATAAAACATTTTCTACAATTACCAGGGAATCTGCTGAAAGAGTGACACCCCTGTAAAAAAGTACAGTCTATAGAGATTATCCACACATAAATCACTCTTGATAAATACAGTTGGTCAACCACTCATTTTTAACTAACCATTTTGCATTGTATTTATATGTACCAGATAAATATCATACTTCTGGTTTAATTTTCACCTATTCTTGAAGCCCTGCAATCTAACCAACCAAACATTTTTTAAAGTGAAATGCTCTCTCTCTCTCTTTCTCTCCCTACCTCTTTCATTACTTCTGTTTCTCTTTCACACACACACACACACACACACACACACACCCCAGAAGTAAGAGAAAGATGGATGGTTATGTAGAGATCAAGCTTTAGATACAGGTTAAGGTAGTTATGCCTATCCATTCAGTGGAATGGTAAGCAGCAGAAATGAACTTTGAGGATAGAAATAAACAAAAATGGGGATTTCCTCCGGAGTAGGGGGTTATAAAGCATGCAGAAGAATCTTTCTGGGAAAAATAAAAAAGCAACAAAAATATGGCCTAATATGGGTCCCATATTCTATTTGAAACGTGAAAAGGGAAAAAAAACACGGACATTTTCTCTTGCCAACACAAATGGCTTATAGATTTTCCCCTAGATTGATCAACAGATCCCCTCTGCAGTGAGAAACCTATTATTGCTGGAACCCTGCTGAGTTTATGAGGGTAAGGGTTATGGTTTAGAGTTGCTTAATTCATGTATTACACTTTTTTTTTAAGAAACATTAGTAGAGAAATAAAGTCTGTGTTGGTATAGTGCAGGGGTAGGCAACCTTGGCTCTTTTATGACTCGTGGACTTCAACTATGCTGGCTCAGGAATTCTGGGAGTTGAAGTCCACGAGCCATAAAAGAGCCAAGGTTGCCTACCCCTGGTATAGTGGTATAGTTGCTGGGTTACAATCGTATTGTACATTATCTTAGAGATACTGTAAATCTTAGTGAAGGCAGTGAGACCTACTGTGTAAATATTTTCAGCATTATCTAAGAATATAAAGAACACTATGTTACCCATCAATAAATTACTGTTTCAATATATTAATACTGTTATGTTGTCACTAGCATATAAAGTCAATCATTATCTAATGCTATGATGCAGTGACAATAGACCCACTCAAAAAGTGAAAGAAACAAAAGTGAAAGTAGAATGGTTCCAAGAAGAGAAAGTATCAACCCTTATCACAAAGGATCTGAAGATAGGGAATGGTAAAGAGGATATGGAATCTACTTTAAACTGACTGAAGTTGAAGAATTATGTTTAGAATGCCCCATCACCATGTGAAGATAAGCTAAGTTAAGTGATATAACTTCTGATACCAGCTGAAAATGTTTTTTTTTTCACCTTTATAAAGAAATGTGAACCGCAGTCTGCATAAATCTCAACCAATAATTAAGAGCAGACTTGCATTGAATTATATCAAGAACTGGAATGTGCTTAAACAAACAGATTGGAAAGAATGTACCTTTAGAGAAAAATTCTTCAAACTTATCCTTAAAGGGCTGAAGGTGTTCTTCAGATGATTCTCTGAAAACAACTTTCATTTGTTTTTCGCAACCTACAAGAATAAACTCAGTGTTAAACAACAAAACACAAAACCTCTAATAAAGAATAATATCCAAATATTCTCAAGCAACAAATGGTTTATATCCAACTAGTAGAAATAAATACCCACCAGAACTGTAACATATTTTATGAAAAGAATTTCTAAAGTAAGAAAAAGAACTAGCTTAAATGTCAGTCATTTAGGTGATCCATTATGGAGTGAATTTGTAATAAAATGACTTAAAGTATCTTTAGGAAAAACACTCTTGTACATAGCAACAGTCTTGCATTGTTTAGCTTCACTATCACTGACGAGCTTTGTTCCATGAAACAGAGCTTTCTAGTTATGAACTATTCCCAAATTAGTCTTCCCTACTCACTTTCATTAGAATCACCGTAAGAGAAAATAAGGTATCCACCAAATTTTGCAAAATGCCAAAAGTTTCAGGAAGCAGTTTAGGAAGTTAGTACAAATGATTTGAACAATAAAAGGAAAGTATTCTGATGAATTCAAGAAGTAAAATTATATATTTCACTGATTATCAAAAGCCTGGCTGCAACCCAACATACATGTAAGTACTTTATCAACTCAGTAGTGCTTACTTCTGAGTAAATAACTTCAGTAGTTCCTTTCATTGATCCTTATATTATAAAATTGCATATAGTTTTTTTAGGTTTTTATAAGTTTAATTGAACAAGAAACCAAAACAAGTTACTTATAATTCTTTTTTACACATAAAAATGTAAACATTTTCATTATGTATAGAAAATAAATACAATAAATAGCAGTGGGAATATACTTGGGCTGTTTTTAGGATGATCTGTGCAATCCAATTAATCCAATTAGCTGTAAAGTATGTGAAATGTATCTAAAGATTAACATCAGACAGTTGCTGTTGGCTTTATAGCTAGTAACATGAGAAAGAACACAGAATAGTAACAGCTTGATTAACACCTTTATATTTGAGTAACTTAATACTGTATATTTTTTATTTGTATGTATGATTTTCAATGAACAATTCTCCATGAACATTAATATCTATAATTATGTAAGGGAATAGTACAGCTCTGAAGTGATTTGAGAAAAGCACAGGATATGCAGTTATATAGATTAAGATATCTGATGTCCTCCGAGGGGATGTTCTTCCCATATTTTCATGATACATTTTAAAAACACAAGTCTATTATGCAATGACTGCATAATGTGGAAAGAATTAGATAAGGTAAGAATTGCTAAAAATTTATAACAGACTGCCATTAATCATGTTGGTTGCTATCTGGGTCTCATGCAACCAGAAAGATTTTTTTACTTCTCCAACAAATTCCAAGTTACAGAGAATGCACTAGACCAGGGGTTCTCAACCTTGGCAACTTTAAGACTTGGGACTTCAACTCCCAGAATTCCTCAGCCAGCTTTGCTGGCTGAGGAATTCTGGGAGTTGAAGTCCACAAGTCTTAAAGTTGCCAAGGTTGAGAATCCCTGCACTAGACATATATTCTGAAAGAAAGACTGAGCTTCTCAGCACTTTTAATTTTATTTTGGTGGGTTACTTGACCCATCAGTGCTGTAAACTGAGGGCAAGTATTAGGGCATAAAGGATCCTTCCTTTTATCAGTTTTACTTTCTGTACAATCACTTATAGCTAGGGACCTGGCCCAATTTCTCACACACTGAAGTGCCACTATTATAAACACTGGGCTGGGCATTTGCCAGGCTAGGACTCAGGAAGCCACTAGTATACCACCACTTCAGATGGGAAAGAATCACATCAAAGCTAGTCTGCTTTGATAATCTTGATACATGTTAAAGTCCTCATTGGTATTATGAATTAGGTGATCAACAATATAAAGAAACTGAAATTTCTAATGACTTCATTATATGCCTACTGCATATACTGTACAAGCTATGCAGTATATTGAAAGAATGAGGAAAAAAAGAAATTTCTTAATTGATAATCCAATACTCTCTGAATTAAAAGAGAAATGTTTTTACCTATCTTACTTCAGAAGGCAGAAATGTACAGTGCAACATTCAGTTCTACAACTAAATGAAATCTTAATTTTTTGTATTCCTGATCAAATTTCTTCACTTCTACAGTTTATTTAAATATCACACACAACCTAAATCTAGTCACATTAATTCAGAAGCACATAACACTGATTTCAATATATGCGAGATGAAGAATCTGGCATTTTTTTTAATGTATTAGTTCATTAAATATATAGACTGTTACATATGATCACCTCTTGTTTGGTTACAAAATTTTTAACAATCCAATAATATCAGCTAAGACATCTATGATCCAATATATAACCAATATTTTTAAATGTTGGCTATTGAAAATATATGTCACATGTAATATTAACAGATGATATTTATGCCAAATGCTGCACAACAGGACAGCAAGGGATCAAGCATTACATTCTGGATCAAGACAATAACTCTGCTGTCTTGAGCCTTCTCTCTAGGCCATTTGGCAGCATAATTCATCAATATTTCTCAATTAGTGTTAGAGAAAAATTCCAGAGTCTTTTTGCAAAGGAATAAAATAGGCCTGGACATCATAACTGGCATTGGAGGAAAATACCATCTGCCAAGAAAGTAGCTCACCCATGCAATTGTTCTTTTATTTCTGATCCTCTGTTATTATGTGAAGGAAAAGCATTATTTCATATACATATTATAATTGAAATGTACACTGGAAAGTTAAACCTATAATTAGAACTTGCCCAGAGAAAATGATGCTTAAATTTTGGATGGAAGCACGAATGTGAAATATAACTGTTATTTTTCAAAATCTGAGTTTATGAACTGCCTTACTCTCCACAAATGTAGTTTTGATTTTCTGTGCTCTCCCAATGAACCAAAACTTTATTTTGTTTTTCTGGCACTGATATTGCTGGAAAATGAAGAATGATTGTCTCTAAATCTAACACAGCTAGGGCTACCAGATATTTGAACAGACAAAGGAAGACATGGATAATTGGAAAGAAGAACAAATGGTGGAAAGGAAGACAATTTCTTGGCATCTGTGAGAAAAATGTTATTACACCTACAGGTATATGAAATTACTTTTTCCAGTACCAGATTGGTTTTTTTTAACTTTTAGAACAAATATTTATTTTCAAGAATATGTGCTAGTAATAATATAGAATTTATGATGTCAAGCTTTTCAAATTTCAACATAGCAATGAATGTATGAGTCATGTGATTTATATAGTGATCACAGATTTCAAGGGATTGGATTGAAGCCAATTGCTGGATTTAGGAAATAAATAATGTAAATCTAGACAGCAGATGAGAGACAGAAAGAAGATGACCAGTTTCAATGACTACTACTGTTAAAATAGGCCAAAGAACAAAAATAACAATAATCAGTTGTCAAAAAGCCAGACAATGTTTAAGTTTAAGGTTATGCCTGCTGGACAGAGGACATGAAGACAAATAAAAGGACATTCCTCCTTTTGCTGGGCATCTAGTAAGCCTAAGCACAATATGAAACTCCCACTTGAACCAGTAAATTAATGGAAAGGCAGGATATAAATCCACAAATAAAGAAGCAAAACAAAAATTAATGGTATTTATTCCATTATTTATTCCACTCTTTCTATGCCACCCAAAGGCTTAGGGTTTATTGGCAATGAACCCAATAAATGTTAAGATCATAAGAGCCACCAACAAATAAAGTAGAACTTAGATTTGGTGGATATTTATATCAGGAAATCCTTGTAAGCAAGGGGCATAGGAAGTTTGAAAAGTAGCAGGCAAAGAAGCAAGGCCCAGTCTCACCTGTCCAGCTCAAATTTCTGTTGGGAGACAGAAGGCAAACATTTAGTATATGCAAAATATACAGTACACATGTTCAGTGTAAAGAAGCATGCTGGTGCTTGTTCAGGTCAGTTTTATGGAGGGGTTGCTGTTTTGTTTAAACAGTAGATAAGGATGGTTTCTAAAGGAGACTGGATTCTTTTAAAAAAATCTTAAGGCAGACACAAAGTTACTTCCTCAGCTAACTCTTAGAGAGCTCTGGAAAAAACAGTTTCTGCTAATGACTCTTCATGCTTCTGCCAGTCTTCTCTCTCTGGATAATAAAATATACAATTGTAAACAGTCATATCTCATGCTGTGACCACACTGGAATGATAGCTAAGGAATGACAGCTAAGGACAGAAATAAGGATTAACAATCCAACTGGGAGATGCAACACATCTCTGGAAAGATTCAAAAAACCCTGGAACAAGCCATCTGTAATTACTAGAGCCAAAGGAAAGCAGCAAGGAATGCTGGACAGCTAACCATGGAGCAAAAATACAAAAATAGGAAGTTGAAATGCTTGGCATCCTGCGGTTGGTTGTTATTGTTTACTCTTCATAAAAATATTAGTACACGGTGCAAAAAATGATATTGTCTGCCAATTTTAATCTCCCTTAAAACTCATCCCATAGGGCATGGGCCAATATAAAGCAGCCAGCATAATATATTGATTTTTGTGTTGGCATAGGACTGTGGACATCCAGGTAAACTTGATCCAGTTATTCTTCTTGAACTTAACCTGTCTCTCAACATTTCTGCTAGGGGATAAGTGAGGAAGATTCATTTAAATACCTCCTTTCCCAGAGGAAATGAAAGATAAAAAATCAATGACTAAATCAGTTCAGATATTGAGGAGGGCAATTGGCTAAAAATTGAAGTGATTCATCTATTTATGGACTGCAGAATTCAGTAACTGTATTAAATTGGCTATCCTGCATTTCCATTCAACCAGATTAAAAGAAGTAGATACAACACATTTCAGAAAATGGCAATTGACTTTGGTTTGGTCTTATCTATGCATCTCATATTATCTGTTATTATTATTATTTTTTTAAAAAGCTCTGAATTACCTGTTTGAAATGAAACCTGTTAACCAAGATTCTGCTTAATCAAAATATGCTCTGGGACCCTTTTAAAAATAAGAGTGGGCTTTATGTATAAAAACTAAATATTACATATACATTATCAATTATATGAAA